ACTGGATGGGAACTGCTGGCTGGAACAGAAGGCTGTGGGGTTGTGGGGCTGGAGGCTGCAGGGCTGGGGCTGCACTGCTATTCCCCTCACCAGGAGCTGAGCCACAAGGTTGTCTCCATCTGGCCAAAATTTGGAGGGGAAAGTGAGGTTTTTGCTTATCAGGGGGCCAGGTAGACCAGGGGGAGCTGGGCTGGGGCCAGATACCAACCAGAACAATAATCCCACATGGATCCAGGATGTCAAGGGGAGCAGCACATGGGCTGGGATGTTTGTGGGGATGGCAGCCCCCTGCCCTGGTGGCAGCCCCTTCCGTGTGGTACCTGCTTTGACGGAGACGTGGATGTGTGCCTTGGACTCGTAGTAGACCCAGTCGAAGCCGGCCTCCACGGCCAGGCGTGCCAGCATGCCGTACTTGTGGCGGTCGCGGTCGGACGTGGTGATGTCCAGCGCCCGGCCCTCGTAGTGCAGAGAGTCGGGGAGGTGGTGCCCATCCTCATCCCAGCCCTCCGTCACCCGCAGCTTCACCCCCGGCCACATGTTCATCACCGCGATGGCCAGCGAGTTCACACGCTCCTTGCAGCGCTGTGGGGACACCGGTGTCACCCTCCCCACGACAGGCAGGGACGGACAGACACCCGGTCTGCAAAGGGAGCCCAAAGGGGCTGTGCAGGGGCAGATGCGGTGTCCCCCCAGGGTGCAGAGAGGGTCACGGCCCCGCTGCCTGGATGCAGGTTGAACTTTAACATGCCCCGGGGTCCCGTGGAGAAGCTGCTCCACGGGCAGCCAGGCAGAACAGGCAAGGGAGCGGGACGGGCACCGGGACGGTGTCACCTTCCCCGCGGCCACGGCCGTGACTGATTAACCTGGCGCGGGGGCTGTGAGGCAGAGCTGGGGGCAGCTGACCCTGAACCAGCCCCGAGTCTGGGCTGACGGGGAGACCAGGGCGTCCCAGGCGGTTCCGGGGTCCCTCTCCCCATTGCCATGGGGTGCAGAAGCTCGGGGCTACCTCTGTCCCCCCGCCGCAGCCGCTGAGGTCACAGCGTCCCTCAGTGCCCCAGTGCCTTCCCCCCGTCCCCCGTTCAACAAAGCGGCTCCCGGGAGCGCGGGGCCGCGGGGGCGGGAGTGCGGGGCGCGGGCCCGGGGCGGCCGTGCCGGGGGGGCAGGAATGCGCTCGGCCCGGCCCGGCCCGGCCCGGCCACAATAGGCGCCTTCCAGCCCGGAGCTGACCTCAGGCCCCGGGAATGCCGCCGCGGCCACAAAGGACCCTTTCAGCCACCCGCACCCCGGACCGGCTCCGCGCCCGCGGCTCCGCCGGGCCCCGCCGCACCTGCCCCGCCGCCTCCGCCGTCCCGGCTCGCGGGAGCTGCCGGCGCCGCCTGGACCACTCGCAGCATCCCCCGTCGCCATGGCGACCGCGGGGCCGCCCCTCGCCATGGCAACCGTGAGCATCCCGACGGGCGCGCGGCGCGTCCCGGGCTCCCGCCGCCCCGGATTTCCCCCGAGCAGAGGGGTACCGGGACCGCCCCCCCCGTGCTCTCCTTGGGGCGGGGGCGCGGCGGCGCTGGGGCAGTGGAGCCGCCTGTACCTCGTGCCCCCGGTGCGGTCCCGTTAATCCCCGACGGTCCCGAATGCACAACGCGACGGGACCGCCTCGTCCCGGGGCTCCGGTGCTGCCGCGCCGCTGCCAAGGGCCGTGGAAGGGAGCGGGGCACCGGGGCGAGGTACCGCGCGGCCCCGGCAGGGACCCGGCGCCCCGGGAGGCTCCGTGCTCTCCGGGAGGGTCGGTGCCACTCGGGAGGATCCGTGAGCCCCGGGATGATCGGTGCTCCCTGGAGAGGATCGGTGGCGCCCGGGAAAGCTCTGTGAGCCCCTGAGCGCGTCGGTGCCGACTGAGAAAGGTCCGTGAGCCCTGCCGAGGGTCGCTGTGATCCCGCCCATCCTCCCGCCGCCCCCGCCGCCCCCGCGCCCCCGGGAGCGAGGCCGGACCGGGCCGGGCCGGGCGCAGCCCCCACCTCGGTCATGAGCCGGTCCGCCCCCGTGTTCTCCTCGTCCTTGAAGATGATGTCGGGGTTGTAGTTGGGCACCAGGTCCCTGAAGCGCTCCGAGCCCCGCAGCACTTTGCCCTCCGCCTTCCCGCTCGCCCCCAGCGTCTGCTCGGGCACGTTGGGCACGAACTGCTTGTAGAGCAGAGGCGAAAGCTGCCGCCGCCCCAGCCGCCGCCGCCCCACCGGGCCCCGACCCGGGCCGCAGCCCAGCACCGGCGCGGCCAGCAGGCAGGCGGCGAGCCCGAGCAGGACGAGGGCGAGCGGCGTCCACCGGGGCATCCCGCCCGCCGGGCTCCGCTGCCTCCGCGGGTCCCGCTCAGTCGCCGGGGGCACGGGCGGCTGGGGCGGGCATGGTCCCGGTGTGGTGGCCCCGGGGCTTTTAGATGGTCGCGGTGCCAGGGGCGGGTCGGCGCCGTTTCCTTCTCACACCCACGGTCCCGTCGCTGCTGCGGGATCCGTGGCCACTCGGGACGACTGACC